TCCGGTAACCACTTAACACCAGGTAGGCTGTGAGCTCGTCCATCCATATATGCAATAAAAAATAAAACAAAAAACAAAGTACCTAAATACCAGGTACCAAGTTTATGGTAGGTAGCGGCTAGGTTGAGTTCCCTGGCATCGTTGTTGTCCTTGAGCAACGGTACCAAGCCACCATCAGATGGGCCGTATACTCCTTTGCCCACAAGGGTTAGAAAAAAAATCAAATTTCTTAACTATTTTAGCTGGGAAGCAGTTACGCGTTCATGCTTAAGACATTGACTGCGGGATAATTTTTGAAAGACTACTAGCCAGTGCGTTTGAGGTCTTTTCGAGGCAATAGTGGGCTTCTTTGCAGTGCGTATGAGACTTGATAAGACTCACAAAGGTCCCACATACACCCATAAAAAGCTGGATATCCCCCGTATAGATAGCCTCCCGTACCGAGCGAACATGGATATGTCTGCTGCATCAGAGATTAGTCACGCATAGGGCTTTTTAAACCGCATAATGCAGTGAACGTGTTAAAGGGTGGGATGGTTATATTAGTAAAAACAATTGTGACTTTCATGTCTCATCTTTGATATCTCTATCCAAGTCTCAAGGTGCGTAGTCGCCTTCTTCAAATCCAATCTAAAGTATGCCTTAATACCCTAAATAGTATGTTTAGAACTGTATAACAGAAACTAGATTTTTCTGTTCCTTTATTTGTCAAATGATGTTAATGTCAAAAATTTGAGAGTAAATTGTGTAGCCTCTCCGTTGCACTGCCTACGTCGGCAAGTATTTTTTTCCTACCTAAGCCTTGGGAGGCTATTTTAGCTTGACCTTAACTAGTAGGTCAGCTCACGGGGATCAAACCTGACGACGTTGCTACCACTAAACCTAGCAAAAGCCGTGCTTCGCAGAATCTACCACCGGATCGGAAACGCGACCCACTGAGAAGATCCGGCGAGAAACTCAGTGGGCTGTATCTGTTGGTTCATTTACTCGTCCGAGGCCTTTGTCGTAAGCGACGGGTTCGACGAGAACGATGACCGGGCGGCGTGTGACTGTAATCACGATAATCTGGCCCGTAAGCTGATTTGCCTTCAGTTACGTTCGGTGACCACGTAAACTGTAAACAATTGAAATATGGAACACAGTATTCCCACGTAAATAAGAAACGCGATTTTAAACCGCTAATGTAAATTTGAATCTCGACTTTAATGACAACAAAAAATACCATTGTTCACTTTCAAGCATTTCAAAGGAACAGTGAAACGAATGATCTCGATCTATGAATATTAAATGAATGTATGTTTCAATGATAAACCAAAAATCAATTTAAAACTTTAAATAGTATACCACAAGGTTTTGTTTCTCGCTCACGTTGAGTCATAGCGTAGTTTTTAATTAATCAGTCGTCATAACACACAGCACGATCTTTAAATGTAACTGTTGCAAAGGGTAGAATCGAAATTAGTTTCTAGTTACCCACATGGATAAGTGCGCCGACATAATATTGTGCCTAACACCATCCTTTATTACGTACGTTGCCAGCGTTTGTTGATCGACTTTGATAAGAGATAAAGGCCTGTAATCGCGCTATGTATTCCCTTATCAGTGATAACACGATGGCAAACAAGTGCACGCAATACGGCCCGTGGAACTTTGGATATTCTAGAATCGTGAGGTATTTTTACATTTTAACAATACATAGCGGATTTGTTTTTTTATTTTTTTATTATTATTTTTTTGTTTTTGTTTTACCATTACTTAAATATTTTGTTTCGCGTTTCGTTATTAGTAGTATTGTTTTGTTTTTTTAATATATATTTTGTTAGTATACACGGGATATCGATTAATCATTAATGAGTTTCGTTTTTTTAGTTTTTAGGTTATGCGCATTTTTTTTCTTTTGAACAGTAATTTGTTATAGATTATTTTCGTTTATTCTTTCCTTTCTTTTTATTTTAAACTAAGTCTATTTTATTATTAATATTAATGTTCGTTTTATGTTATAGAAATTGTTTTCTGTGAATATGTGTTTGTATTATTTTGTCGTAGATCAATTTTGATTTTATAGAATAGTTTGAAGTAGTTGGGATTGCGAGCTCGCACGAAGAGATATATTGCATGACTTCTATTTCTACATCAAAACAATGGTCCATTGCGTTTCATAGGGTATATATTATAACAAGCGTTACGCATGACTTTGACTTCATGTCTACTACGGACATCGGCGATCACTTAACACCAGGTGAACTGTGAGCTAGTTTACTCGACTGGAATGATTAAAGTTAATTAAACAGTCGCCTTTAGAGTTAGGATTCCTTACTGCTAGTTTACTGCTAGTTTCTTGTTGTTCTTCCTACCGTTTTCCCGGTCTAATGCCAGGATCCGCATTCCTGCCCAAGCTCCTCCACTTTGCCTGGTCTTCGGCATTTTTTTATTGCTAGGATGGGTCGACGAGTTCACGGCCCACCTGTCGTTAAATGGTTACCGGAGCTCATAAACACCTTTTTTTTTATTGCTTTGATGGTTGGACGAGCTCACAGCCGACCTGGTGTTAAGTGGTTACTGAAGCCCATAGACATCTACAACGTAAATGCGCCACCCACCTTGAGATATAAATTCTAAGGTCTCAGTATAGTTACAACGGCTACCCCACCCTTCAAACCGAAACGCATTACTGCTTCACGGCAGAAATAGGCGGGGTGGTGGTACCTACCCGTGCGGACTCACAAGAGGTCCTACCACCAGTAAAACCTAAGCCTACCACTTTTAACAGTAACATCTTGCTAGTTCATTGTATTTAATTACCATAATATCCTTGCTGGGCAGGAGAGAATATTATCGAAAGCACATACCCACAGTAGGAGTATAGAGTTCGTATTTCGTATTACGAGATCTGAGCTTACGTAGATTCCGTGGATTCCTGAAGGCAGAGCATGATAAGAATTCAAAAATAATTCAGAAACGCGAGCCTTGCCCAATGCGAGCGCGTTGTCATCATTTTTCCCGGGCCATTTTTTCTCGGTCGCTTTTTTATTATACGAAAAGGGATTAGTTAGTATTTTTTGATTTTTTGATACTTCCATCCGATCACTGGTCCTTTATATACATGGTCTATGTAAGACTACGAAGATTTTAATGAAATAACTAGTGAAAGTTGCGCTCGTCATTTTTTTAAACTACTCGCGCGACACGCGTTGTTAATTAATGGTCCTATGATTTCTATCATGCCAGGAGTATTAGCAACAGCGATACCAAGTTTCACCACAATCGGATGAGCAACTTCGGAACTTAGAGAGGAAAAAACGTGCTCATATAAGATAAAAAAATTAAAAGTTAAGTTATACCTATACATATTATACAAACATAAGACCTATGATAATTTCTTCAACAATCACAGAGTTCTGCTTTATACCTATCGCGGCCTTGATACGCTAAGTAACTTCGACTTAAACTCGCTCACATCAATAGTGATTGTTAAACGTTCAATGACTCCAAGCTACAATTTTCTCTTGTCTCACAAAGATTGCAAACACGCTTGACGTGAGACCAAAAGAATTAACTCAAGAGACCTCAACTTTTAGTACATTTGTCAGATTAGTGATACAAGCAAGAAAAACTGTATTGAAGACTTTCAATTGCTCCAATAATCGTTACAATATGTCATACAGACCGCGCTAAAGCTATGTACAAAAAGATATATAATTTCATCTGTATTTTCTTTTTTCTTTAATAAGTCGCTCTTATTCTTATGATTATATTGTACCGAATAAAAACATTTATTGAAACGCTTCTTAGGACACGCATGTTAAGTTCGGATACAATTACAAATGACACGCGAACGCATATTGGTAAAACACGAACAAACAAACAGTAAAACAAATACCTATATAACGCCGACAAACAATCAAAAACAAAACAATCCAATCAAAACCTAATCTACAAGTCATTTGAAAATAATTGGAATAAAGAAACTGTATTTTAATTCAAATAACACAGTATGTAAATTAGGCTATTAACAATAAAACATATATTACGAGTATTTTATTTTATTTTTATTGCTAAATGGGTGGACGAGCTCACAGCCCACCTGATGTTAAGTGGTTACTGGAGCCCATAAACATCTACAATGTACAATTTAAATGCGCCACCCACCTTGAGATATAAGTTCTAAGGTCTCAAGTATAGTTACAACGGCTGCCCCACCCTTCAAACCGAAACGCATTACTGCTTCACGGCAGAAATAGGTAGGGAGACGGTACCTACACGCGCGGACTCACAAGAGGTCTTACCACCAGTAAAAAGAAGAAGACAAATGAATGTTATGAATAAGAAAGAATAGAACAATAATTTGTTGAATACATATTTAATACACATAAATTAGTTATAGATAAGCAACTCAAGCACTCAACAAATGTGTTTACGGGCGTCGGCCACTAGATGGCTTCGTTTCGATTAGTTTCTCATTGCTCCTATAGATGGCAGTAACATATTATTATTACCTATCCTATATTTTATTTTTAATGGACGATTTTGTAAATTTTCAGAAACTACAAATTGTTAAATTTTAATCAATTTGTCTATAACAAATAAAGACTTGTATGTATGATTTATTATTCTTTTATTTTCTGTGTTTAGTTATACAATAATTAAATGCCTTAACTTTAACAACATGAAAGCTTAGGGGCATCCGCTGCAAGATGTCGCTAGTTTCCATACAGAAAAAATATTTGTCGTTAAGTATAGCAGTTTCAGAGCCCTGCTTGAATAGAATCTGGAACACTCAAATGACACCTACGAAACATAAAATAATGTAAATGTGTATAATAATGGGTAGCCTTATCGCTTAGTGCAATCTCTCTTGCACAACTATAATAATAACTTTCTTGGGAAAGGAATCGGCAATTAAGGACGATCGTATTTAATAATAAAAGAAAAAAGTGGTACTAAGCAATGTTAATATTAAACAAGTAAGTCGTAATTTTATATATTTTTGTTTGTTACAGTGGGATGAATATGAATATAAACAACAACAATAACAACAACACGACCAGCATTAACAATAACAACAACAACAATGAGGACAAATCTGAAATGCCAGATCCTGACTACATCAAGGTATATATTACTGCATTATTATTTTATGTCCTTTTTCACTGCCATTTATTACAGATGACGATTTAAGGGTGATTGTCGACGCTTATACTCATAGGAAATGCCAAGGCCGTAAAGATGTCGAGAGAGAGAGAGAGAGAGAGAGAGAGAGTATTCTTTATTTTACACCAATTGGCGGTCTTAGCGCTAAGAGCTAAGAGAAAACCATCAGGTGGACGATAATCATTTGGAAACGAATTACGCGCGGTGTACCAATCCAGTGAAACATATATATATATATATATATATATATATATACACATATACAGATACATGCATACATAATATATATGTATAATATAATATGTAATATGTATGTAATAATATAATATGTATGTATCCTCATGGAAATCCTTTATTAGTTGTAGGACGTACTATGAGGCTGAATCTTGTGGACTACCATTCCGCCTGTTAGTGCCACAAAGTAATCAGGAGCTCCGACTTGTAGAACTGACTTAGGGTCCGTTCACACAGACCGGCTGGAAGAGATCTGAGATATATAAAAATAGCCAATGGGCTATGCGAGCAAGAAAGAGCACGCAATGGGAACCGGTAGGCTCCTCTTATTATTTCACATGCAGCGCGTTCAAGCATTCTTAATAACAAAAAAGTGCACATGCAAAAATAAACTTTACTACAATTACTCAAAACTCTGTTTCCAACGTAATAAAAATCTGCTCTCCTAGGAGCACGGCCGGTCTGTGTGAACGGATCCTTAATAGAATAAAATTAATAGGTGGGTGGAGGTATTTTCGTTGTTATGTCAATCAGAAGCCACTTAATACCAGATGGGAGGTGAGTTTCGTCTATCTACCTGTAGGAGAAAAAAAAACAGCTTAAATAAGACTTTAATGAAATTGAAGTGGTAGACGTTATTTACATCCATAGCCATATTAGATTTTACATGTAATAATACTAGTTTGATTTTTGGAACGAAGTTCCTTATGGGACGATGCGGAGGGGTACCCTAACCGGGAAAAAACGTCCGTAACGTAAGATTTTCATTAGTAATGCACACAGTGTACGACTTATCTTTGTAATAACGTACAAAAATAGCATATTATTTTATCATTCATTGACCACGATCTCAGAGCGTTCGTTTTCGCAATACACTAACTCTTATACAAACAACCATGAATGAAGTGGACCACAATAAGTTCGCACGTTGCCGAATGACCGTGGGTTGTTGCGAAACCTCCAGTTTTATATCTTTATACCTCGAATAAAACTTTCAATTAATACTTTTATAATAAGGAACTGCGTTCCTATCCGGTGTCCCACGACACCACACTTCTTTTTTTACGAAATGAAGGGTTCAGGAAATTGTACCTATAAATTGTTCGAAGAGATCTCGGGACAATCACATTAAAGTTAATCATTCGCAACGCAGTAATCAAACAACAAGACACGAATTTCAGTGTAATAGTTAGCTACGGTCTGTTTACCGCAAACCCTCGCCCGCTGGAGTCAATAAGTACCTAACGGCCCTACCTGTGTAATATTATGTCAATGACCCGCATACATGACCTACATGGGTATGATGATAACGATAATCGGAACGCGATCCGAACATTACCGAGAAGAAGTCTTGGTTCACGCCTTTTCACGCGTCAGTGCCAAAAATTACGTTTTAGTAGTTGGTGATTTTTTAACTTGACAATAAAATTAGTACTCCATAGACGCCAACCTATTGTCTAACCTTTGTTAATCGGGCGGGGGGCCGAACCTCATACCAAGTGTCCGCGCTTAGGGGGCATGTGGGACTTGACGGTCTGCAGATGTTTGGAGCAGAAAGCGGGCCCAAGGATGTTAACATATCATCAAACCTAGTATGTTAATACCAAAAACCAAACGTTAACATATAGTAAACGACGGTTATCGATTGGTTATCGATTTTCACATTCAAGAAATGAATTGTGTAATGAAAATCCAACCGGCAGAATTTATTGGTTTACATAGCCGAATAGCTACCGTCATTCGCGCACTTCCATCCCGAATCGGTAAGCTCCGATTCGAAGGATAAGATAGCAATGGTCACTCAATGCAACAGGAGATGTTTATATGGTAGTTCAAATAAGCAACGATTGTTATATAAAAAAGTTTAAATAAATACATCCATAGATCCATATAATCTATAGATCATCAGCTATAGATGAATCATCTACAGATAGATCATCTATAGATATTAAACATTCAGAGAAAGAGCTAACAAATTTGTTCACCGCAAAAATGCTTGCCCAATCTGGGAACCCAGTTCTCTGTCCACCAGCTAGTTGCGCTAACTACTGCCACTCAGTCGTGATCTTCATTCAGTCACTCAACACTTTATATGGGTCAAAATAGCAGCAAAACTTTGTCTAAAAAGTTGTCAACCCATTAAATCTAATACATACTAAAAGCCAATACGAAGAGGACAATTTAAGCCGCAACCATCGTTTAATTGAGACGTATCTGCCTCCGTAACAGCGTAAAGACACGAGTACAGAATACAGGGTTAAAATTTATGAAGGCAATTAAACAGGTTTCCCGTCTACGGATCGCGACGCGGTTGCAGCGACACTTCGCACCGCGCCACGCGGGAGGTGTTAGGCTCCCGACATACAACACGGAAAACGTTAATGTTTAAAAAGTCGCAATGCTTTCCTTCTTGCTATTATACCACCAGATTTATTTTTCCTATCTATGCTGATAGCCTTGATAGGCTATTTCAGCGTAACCTTAACTAGTAGGTGAATTCACGGGGCTCAAACCTGACGACGTTGCTAACACGAGCCCTAGCAAGAACCGTGCTTCGTAGAATCTACCACCGGATCGGAAACGCGACCCACTGAGAAGATCCGGCGAGAAACTCAATGGCCTGTGTCTGTGGGTTAATTTTACTCTTCGAGCCCTTCGTCGCAAGCGGCGGGTTCGACGAGAACGATGACCGATACTACCAGATGAACTAGGCACAGCATTAGAATACATCTATTTTATAATATAATTACACAATGCAATTTTACAACCGCCTGATATCAACTAGTAATCAACAACCACTATTAAGTGTGGGACTAAAATTTAATGAGATACAGTGTACGTAACAAATCGTTCTGCCTAGACTCCCAAGCCAGAATAATCCTGTGTCAATGTAATAAATGTAATAACAAAGATACCCATATCTGGTACCAAAGAGTATCCTACCAAAGAATTTGACATTTTAATCGTTGTATGTATTACAAAAAAAAAATTTTGGGGATAATAGTAGTTTTAGCTAGAAGTGGCCTTGTTGCTTTAGTTCTTACGCATTTAATACTAACAGAATCATAAAAATTATCTCTTGCTTTTTGTTGACACGTTATAAAATCCAACACAAAATTTTACGTAAAATATTCGTGGAATTTGAAAGATATTGTTAAGCGTGAAAGAACATGTTTTTACAAATATTAAATCCCTTAAAAACTATGTTGCTACAGGTATGTTTCCTGAAATTGTATACCTAAAGGCTATTGATTTATCTAGAACGAAAAATTGATTAATTTCAAGTAATATCTGGTCGAATGGCCTGTATGATGTTATTTTTTTTTATATGCACAAATAAATTGCATTTACAAAAAAAAGCCCTTGTAGGCAGACAAGCATACGGCCCCCCTGATGGTATGTGGTTACCGTCGCCCATGGACGTCAGCAATGTTAGGGGCACAGACAAGCTGCTGCCTACCGTTAAGTGCTCTCCACAAGCTTATTTAGAAGAAAGACATGTCGTAGCGCTCAGGAAACATCGTAGGAAATCGTGCTTTAGGTATAGCAACTAAGTATTGGCATCAGAATAGTCTTACTGCAATACTGCAATATCCGTAATCAATCTCTCAATATTTTTTTATTATCTTACGATCGAATCCCGAAGTACTTTTTTTTATTTATTGCTTAGATGGGTGGACGAGCTTACAGCCCACCTGGTGTTAAGTGGTTACTGGAGCCCATAGACATCTACAACGTAAATGCGCCACCCACCTTGAGATATAAGTTCTAAGGTCTCATTATAGTTACCCCACCCTTCAAACCGAAACGCATTACTGCTTCACGGCAGAAATAGGCAGGGCGGTGGTACCTACCCGTGCGGACTCACACGAGGTCCTACCACCAGTGATTACGCAAATTATAATTTGGCGGGTTTGATTTTTATTACACGATGTTATTCCTTCACCGTCTAAGTCAATCGTGAACATTTGTTAAGTACGTATTTCATTAGAAAAATTGGTACCCACCTGCGGGATTCGAACACCGCGGCATCGCAACAACGAATGTACCGGACGTCTTATCCTTTAGGCCACGACGACTTCACAACTTTAACTTTAGTTCGTTCCCAGAAACCGTCGTGAATGTAACGAGCCTAAATCGTAACAGTTTGCCGTCACGCGACCCCGTCCAATTACCGTCCCCTGATTGCTTTTATGCTGCTGCAATACGCTTGTCAACCGTAATATATATTAGCGAGGCCTCTGTTAATTTAAAGTTCATTAATTTTATTTTATTGTATCCGCCTTGCTGCTATCTGAATTTTGTTATTGTCGCTCGTAAATTACGTGAGCCGAAAATTTTCAGCGTGCGCTCTGTCTGTATATGTCGGGGGCCTACACGTTTCACGCGATTTAATTTTCGTACATACGTATTTTGAATTTTGTGTTCCTTTAATTATTAATGAAATGCGATTGTTATTCTTGTTTATGTTTTTTTTACTTAGAACCTTTAATTTCATTTTGAATTTGTCATAATTAAAAATGGTAAAACGATTGATGTTCAAGTTTTTTTCTTAGGATTTAGAGGTTTTGCATTTTTTTTTACGTTTTCCCGTGTTACGTGCGCAAATAAATGGAAAATATATAATTAAAAAAATGCGATATCTACTCTAAATTTTATAAAAACGTCATTTTTAACTATTAATAACACGTTTTTAACTATCCACATAAATGGAGCTCATATAATCATTAAATACATAATCATTAATCATCATTAAATAAATACTCATTACTGCTCATTACTCACCTGGGAAACACAAAACCTATGTATTGATTGCGGAAGGAACTGTACTGCTTACCTGGGATTCGCGACGTGTAAATGCTTCCCGGAATAAGCAAGGGAGTGTTAGCAACACGTGCACGATACGTCCTTCCACGAGTTCTAACAACTCTCACAGACGAGGTTCCAGGAAAACTACACGCAATACATGTATGTAATCCGACGCTAAACAAACGACCCACAGACACAGCCCACTGAGTTTCTCGCCGGATCTTCTCAGTGGGTCGCGTTTCCGACCCGGTGGTAGATTCTGCGAATCACTGCCCTTGCTAGGGCCAGTGTTAGCAACACTCCCGGTTAGAGCCCCGTGAGCTCACCTACACGTCAAGGAGAAGCTGAAATAGCCTCTCAAGGCTATCAGCATAGGTAGGGGGAAAAAAACAAAAAAAGTTGTGTGGTATCGTGAGACACCGGATAGGAACGAAGTTCCTTATTATAAAAATATCAATTTTAAGTTCTATTTCAGGTATAAAGAAAATAATTATTCGGGTATATATTTTTATTTTTATTTTTTTTATTGATAAAAAAATAAAAATACTACTTTACAAAGCTATCAACTTTATTTTATTCACAATGATTTATAAAAAATATATAGTATTTACAATATACAAAGAAACTGCTATTTATATGAATAATAATAATAACCGTCATCACGTAGACTATACATTAGACACTGTATAGCCATTATACTAAGACTATACATGAATAATAAAAATCTTACGTTACGGACGTTTTTTCCCAGTTATGGTACTCCTCCGCATCGTCCCATAAGGAACTTCGTTCCAAAAAAAAAAAACAATCGCTTGTTCCGTCTATATCTTAAATTTTGGTGAAAGTCAGTAAAGTAACCTTTGCATTTTTTAATATTACAGATGTTCGTCGGTCAGGTACCAAGACACATGGACGAGAATGACCTCAGGCAGATGTTTGAGGAGTTTGGTAGAGTCCACCAGATCAACGTGCTCCGGGATAAGATCACAGGAGTCAGCAAAGGTCGGTCTCACGCTTCCTGTGAATAGAATAGCATAGTATTTTTAGTATTATATTCATTACTAGCTGAGTCCCGCGATGTTACCCGCGATTATTGTAGTACCGCTACAATAAAGAAACTAGTCTAAAAGAAGTAGCCTTAGTTACTCCTTATATCATCAGTTACCTATAAGTGAAAGTCTCGTCAAAATCGGTACAACCGTTCCAGAGATTAGCCGGAACAAACCGACAGACAGACGGAGAGATAAAAATAGAAAAAAAAAATATTTTGGTGTATGTATATGCATCCGTATATAATAATATATTCACATGCATGTAGTAAAAAGCTGTTATTTCAATATTACAAACAGACACTCCAATTTTATTTATATGTATAGATTAGTATTTTTTAGAAATAGAAGCAATTTTAGCATTATCTGTTTATGTCTGACAAACAATTGCAATAAGTTTTTACGAGTAACAAACAAGTAATGATGGGATTTGAGTTTTATGAGTTGCTAAATTACTAGCTATTTTGCCTTTAATTTTTTTTAATTATTTATGTAATTTCGTGAGGTGAACTTACGAATTATTCTAATATACCAAGTTTTTTAAATTCGTTTTAATATAAAAAGCACGCACCCACGAATCAATCGTCTTGCTTGAATCGCGATGTTCCGTCAACAATATACACGTAGTAGGAAGAGAGCGGAGATCAGGTACCATTACCTTCTGTCTCGTGTTTTATGACGCCTTTTGTATTAAAGTTTTACAATAAATAACGACTTCACGAGAATTTTCAAGATAACAGACAATAACAATAAAATCTCAAGTTACTTATTAAAGTTTTGTAACGATGTTGGTATCAAAGCTGTTGAAGCGTTTGATTTTAAATGCATACTAGTTTGATTACAATCATTTTTTTAAACACTCTCTTCTTCTTATGAGCATAAAGTCGAAAATTTTGGCAGTACTTGGATTCAGATTCCTGCGTGACTGAAATGGGTCTAAACGCTAATCAGTAGAAGTATATTAAGTAAAAAATAAATTAGAAAAAATTGTACCTGCCTGCGAGATTCGAACACCGGCACAGCGACATCGATCCATACGAATGCACCGGGCGTCTTATCTAATAGACCACGATGACTTCATCATCAGTCAGCATAACGCCGCGAATTGTAGCGTCAATCTGATATTTCTATGAATATCTTTAATGATATCTCAAACTATCTTTCAGCTTAGGTTTTCTTGTAGTCGAAAGCAGATTTGTCTACATTATCAGTGTCTTGTCTCTACTACGGGGCACAGTCATAAAAATGTGACTTTGAATGTGTCTACTACAGTCATAAAAATGATACTCGAAAATTTATAAATATTTGTTTTTACTAGTGGTAGGACATAACACAAGCCCGCACGGGTGGGTAACATCATCATTCCTATCCCGACCGCGAGGCTGACATGTGCTCTTATCACGGATCCATATACTTTTTTTTTATTGCTTAGATGTGTGGACGAGCTCACAGCCCACTTGGTGTTAAGTGGTTACTGGAGCCCATAGACATCAACAACGTAAATGCGCCACCCACCTTGAGATACAAGTTCTAAAGTCTCAAGTATAGTTACAACGGCTGCCTCACCCTTCGAACCGAAACGCATTACTGCTTCACGGCAGAAATAGGCAGGGCGGTGGTACCTACCCGCGCGGACTCACAAGTGGTCCTACCACCATTAAACTATAGTAGTTATACTAATTGGAACGTGAGCTTACAAAAATAGAACAAAATACATCATTTATTGATTATAAGAAACAGATAAAACTCCTATGTGATTGAACTAACGTTATATTCATGTTATTGTTTGTTCGTTTGTTTGTTTGTCAAAATTATTGCCTTATGTGATATAAATCGTTGTTTTTGTACTGTCCTAATGTTCAAATCATGTCGACTTTAAGATTCTATAACAATATGACAATTGCACGTTTTGATAAAAAAAATTATTGCCTTTGTAGGCAGACGAGCATACGGCCCACCTGATGGTGAGTGGTTACCGTCGCCCATGGACTTCAGCAATGCCGGGGGCAGAGCCAAGCCGCTGCCTACCGCTAACACAATTACAAGTTATATACGCTGTTATTTATGACATACAGAGAAACGGAACGACAGTGCGGTGTGACTGATTACTGCTTAGGGGGCTGTAATGTGTTCCGGTATTTTTTTCCGGTTTACTGGTGGTAGGTACTCTTGGGAGTCGGCACGGGTAGGTACCACTACCCTGCCTATTTCTGCTGTGAAGCAGTAATGTGTTTCAATTTTAAGGGTGGGGCAGCCGTTATAACTATACTGAGACCTTAGAACTCATATCTCAAGGTGGGTGGCGCATTTACGTTATAGATGTCTATGGGCTCCAATAACCACTTAACACCAGGTGGGCTGTGAGCTCGTCCACCCAGCTAAGCAATAAAAAAAGAAAAAAAATAGTTCACCGAAGGCACGCATGAACAATTGACTTGGGTTCCAATGTCTCGAACGGAGTCCGCGATGAACATTTCGTCACCGACTAGTAACGTCAGGCTACCAATTCGTAATTAACAGGTGGTTTAATTAACCGAACACTCCTCGGTGTACTGAAAAGCGGTTAACTTGATTTAAGAGCTCGGAAATAGTTTAGCTACCCGTGGGGACTCACAAGAGGTCCTACCACCAGTAAACTCAGTTTATGGGACCTTTAAAACTTCTTTCATTCCACCTATCATATATCGATAGTACTGGATATCTTCAGAATTCAGAATATTGTCATCCGAGTTATCCTAATAAGCACGTCAAGATGACCCTTTTACACTTTTACATCAAATAGTTAATAGACGATTTAAGCCTGCAACTTTAGTCTGTGCCAAAAATACGTACCAATAAAACTAGTAGATTTATGTATTAGATATGTACCAGATTTATGTCTCGTAAAATGTGCTTTAGTTTGTATTAGACTTTAATGTTTTATGTGAACATGTGATGCATTGATGAACGAATTATCCTAATTTAATTAATTAATACATTTTTATGAAGAAACGTTAAAAAAAAACGAATACATTTCTGATACAATTCAATAGAGTTGTTCATATAAGGAGTTCTGATAAAAAAAAAACTTTCTTTTTCACTCATTCAAGTTAAAAATGATTCTAGTGCAAGATATAAATAATAGTTTAATTGTATAAAAAAAAAATCAATGATAAATTAATTATGAGTACTCGAAAAAAATTGTCGTATTTTATTAGATCGTTTTTTTTTGAAGCATCATTTTTTGGATAACATTTTTTTGTCAACGTATCACATTATTTATTAACCTCATTAGAGTTCCCTCCGTTGTTCGTCGTGTAAACGTCTCATACGTTAGCGTCCGCTTTTGTTCCAGGGTGCTGTTTTGTGACGTTTTTCACACGAAAGGCCGCGTTGAAAGCCCAGGACGCTTTGCACAATATCAAAACATTGACAGGGGTAAGTGCGTTTAATGTTGTTGTTTTTGATTATTTTCTTTTTTTTTTTGTTTTTTTGTCAACCCTACTATGTTGTTCGTGTGGTATTAGTGTTGTTCTAATAGTGAATCGTTTTTTGTGAATCGATTATTTTGATTTTGAAAAACTACGATTAGTAACGTTCTCGGACAATAATCGATATCGTACATACTCGTATATAAGAAAGTAAATCATCTGAAAAATTTACCGATCGAAAATATATAGTTACATTTTCAACTTTAGTAGCATCAAGAATAATGCGAAAATATTGTAACTATACTGAGACATTAGAACTTATATCCCGAGGTGGGTGGCGCATTTACGTTGCAGATGTCTATGGGCTCCAGTAACCACTTAACCCCAGGTGGGCTGTGAGCTCGTTCACCCATACAAGCAATAAAAAAAAAACCAGATTTAAAATAGCAACTGTCATTCATGAGATTTTTACTACAACATTGACTATGAAATGCTAATGTTGATGAAAATTATTAAAAATTCCATTCTTTGTCTAAGTAAATAGAATTTGTTTTGCGCTGATAATGTGATATACTCGTAGTAGTTTTCTTAATTTAATTATTATTATAATTTATGAACCTGTCATAGAATTTGAAATCAAAGAGTTTTATAATAAGTTGATGTATATTTTACACAGAATAAGCACAAAATCAAAGTGCATTGCTATTTCGAAGAATGCATTTGATTGTTTTTTTTTTCGAGTAAGGTAGCAATTCAAACCTACAAATACGATATATTTTACTTCAATAATTATATAGGGTATATTTTATTGTATACTAGATCATATCATGTAAATATAATGTGTTACATGTTTATGTGCATTCTTAAATATAACATATTATAACAAACAACATATAACATACATTCATAAACTTAGATGTATGTAATGAGCAGTCTTCCAGATAACCATAAGAAATTTAGCACTCACTTTAACTTACAGTCTAATCTTTTTACTAACATAGATTAGTCTCTTAAAACATAAGGCTACAAATTACTATTTAAAAATGCTAGGCTAGGCTATTTAAAAATGGTTACTGTATCACAATATATAGATACAATATAATAAAATTATATTAAATGGAATCCTAAAACGCACTCCAATATTGTAAGCAATAGTGGCCTTCTGAAAATTTTCAGGAAAAGTTCAGCGTAACTGTAATATCTAACTAATAAAATCGGGATTGAATCCCACAGTATTATTAAAATGAAACCATTAATATACAGGTCTTTGAAAAACGGGACTTTCAATAAAAACCATTCGCTTGGAACGTTCGTTTGGAAGCTCTGGGTCTGCGGAGGGACTTCGGTTCCCTCTGCATTTTGTACCGTATGTTCCATGGGGAGTGCTCTGAGGAATTGTTCTAGATGATACCGGCATCTCGTTTTTACCATCGCACCGCCCGCCACCGGAGTAGAGTTCATCCATACTACCTGGAGCCACTGCGGTCATCCACAGTGCGTTTCCAGAGGTCTTTTTTGCTACGTACCATCCGGCTATGAAATAAGCTCCCCTCCACGGTGTTTCCCGAGCGCTATGACATGTCCTTCTTCAAACGAGGCTTGTGGAGAGTATTAAACGGTAGGCAGCGACTTGGCTCTGCCTCTGGCATTGCTGAAGTCCATGGGCGACGGTAACCACTCACAATCAGGTGGGCCGTATGCTCGTCTGCCTACAAGGGCAATAAAAAATAAATAAATAAATCGCTTACGTTACATCGAATGCGCTTCATAGTGTCCGCCTGTTGCTGGGTAATAACAATTTTCTTTATTACAAATATACAGAGAAGGGGGACGAACAAACATCCCATTCTCGATACTACCGATTGTTACCGAATACAATCGAATTACAGAGCTCCACCATTTCTATTAAAATAGTGATGCCCAATAAAACAAAAGTTTTTTTTTTTACGTAATCAAAAATATGTTTTTTTTTCTTTCCCGAATGATGTATTAGTTTATCTGTTATTCTAATGCATATGAATATGCTTTAAGAAGGTGAATTTATTGTTGCCTTGAATATAAGTTTCACTCAGAACAGAAAAACGGTAAAGTAAAAAAACAAAAATTATAAATACATAGATAAATAGCAAGGTAAATGTGAATACACCATCGTCGTCAGTCTTTGTGGCTTAAAGTATATGTAATATGTATATAAGGTATAGTGTAAGTAATACGTAGATAATTTATGCTCACGATTGACTTCCACGATGAAGGAAACTTATTGTTTAATTATAAGGTGACATAAATGATAATTTGAATATTGAAACATTAGAAGAAGGAACATTAGAAATATTAAAACATTTCTTAATATTGAAATATAAAAAACATAAAAACTGGTGAAGCAATAGCTTTAAATGTTGTTTCTATTTATAGAGCAACTCAGTTTGTGCTATAGTTTTACTAGGCTAAACTTTATTTGATGTGAATAAAATAATTACAATAATACAAAATTCGCAGGCCGAAAAAGGACAACGATAATCGGACAGCCCTATTCGTGTCCCCGTCTCGTCTCATCTTCATCTCAGCGATAATTCAATTCCATTATATTATCGAGGGGTTTTTCCTCTGTCGATTGATTTCCGAACGCTACTCTCACTCGACGATAGCGGCAGGTTGAACATCACGCGATTGTGTTGACGTCACAATATTTTATATGCGCCGCTAAAAACTCACCATGGAATAAGTGGCTACCGAAGTCTATAGAAATAAAACGTGACCGCCATCATTGGCCCTAAGAAGTAAAATCAAAATCTGAACTTGTTCTAGCTTTTATCAGGGGTTTAATGCGCGCTAGTTTAAAACAAAAAACATATTTTTGATGCCTGGATGTAATAAATGCCTTATGTTCTTTTTTATACCATTAATAAAATGTACATAATTTTTAAAGTGACTACAACGTTGAATTAAGAAGTAAAAGGGTAACTAACACACAAAGAAACTCACTTTCGTATTTATAATATTGGCATGGACAATGATTATGTCGTACTTATATCCGAAACGCATATAAATGATTCGCGGTAGAATTTAACCCTTTTTTTTCCTACCTATGCTGATAGCCTTGAGAGGCTATTTCAGCTTACCCTAGCATGTGTAGGTGAGCTCACGGGGCTCAAACCGGAGAGTTGCTAACACTGACCCTAGCAAGAGCAGTGCTTCGCAGAATCTACCACCGGATCGGAAACGCGATCCACTGAGAAGATCCGGCGAGAAACTCAGTGGGCTATGTCTGTGGGTTAATTCGCTCGTCGAGCCCTTCGTCGCAAGCGACGGGTTCGACGAGGACGTAGACCGGTGCTTGTAGTGCCTAAAAACACCGTTAATGGATCAGGAGGATCCGTGATGACGATAATCCAAGATGATAGGGTTGAATACGCCTTCTGTTCTAAAACTGTAATGGTTTCAGCTCAGTTGTAAACCATGCCATTAATACGTATTATTTTATAATACATAGTTATTGACGCAAGAGTTAATTGACGCATCGCAAAAGATCGGATATTTGCTTTTTTCAATAATCATTTTGTTTCATGGTTTTATTTTTTTCTTGACCTATATACAAATTACATATAAACGAGTCTTCCAATGAACCCAAGTGCATATATACCCAGATTGCATTAGAACGTGTAACAATTTTATATGTTTGATTTTAAAACGTTAGTTTTTGTTAGTTTTTGTTTCTCTTGTCGAAAACAACAATATGTACAACATTATTTACAAACTGCGATTCGATACATTCAAATTATTATTGAAGTTATACTTCTTTAGGCGCGTTATGAAAAATTGATGAAAGTGAAATTGAAACAGAATGAAGTTGCCCACTAAATCGCTCATTACAATACGACCTACGTAACTTGGCGAGTCTGAATATAGCCGCAGGTGAACTTTCCGAACCGTACCGAGAATTACCGAATTAATACGATGTCAAGAAAAGGGATGTCCAATATGCGTGTTTGAGGATGTTGTTTAATCGTTTTTTTTTTTCAAATTGATTAAAATTTAAATTAAAAAAAAGAAATAAATTTAATAAAAATAAAGTATAACTTCTTACGCGCGTACATAAGTACACGCACCTTTTTTTTTATTGCCTAGATGTGCGGACGAGCTCACAGCCCACCTGGTGTTAAGTGGTTACTGGAACCCATAGACATCTACGACGTAAATGCGCCACCCACCTTGAGATATAAGTTCTAAGGTATCAGTATAGTTACAACGGCTGCCCCACCCTTGAAACCGAGACGCATTACTGCTTCACGGCAGAAATAGGCGGGGCGGTGGTACATACCCGTGCGGACTCACAAGAGGTCCTACCACCAGTAATTACGCAAATTATAATTTTGCGTGTTTGATTTTATAACACGATGTTATTCCTTCACCGTGGAAGTCAATCGTGAACAATTGTTAAGTACGTATTTCATTAGAAAAATTGGTACCCGCCTGCGGGATTCGAACACCGTTGCATCGCTATATACGAATGCACCGGACCTCTTATCCTTTAGGCCACGACGATTTGTAATCGATTACCTGCGATGTTTAAGATTTATAGTAAACAATTTACGGTTTTATTTTTCTTGTTGTTTTGTGACCGTAAACGTGCAAAGTATTGTTTTAACAGTACTTTTAATTGTTTACGAGCCTTGAAAAGCAAGGAAGGTAAAAAAAAGAATCACATTTACCAGTAGCAACATTAAAAAACTAGATTTAACAATGCATACCCTTTGGTAAAAAATAGCCATTTGCAATATTCTGTCGTTGCCATTAAGAACGCTGATTATTTTCATTCGAAACAAAATTCGATCATGAATCGATAATGACACAAAAACATTTATCGATGCGTATTGTTATTCTCTCATTATTGGTAACTCTCCCGGGGCGATTATGTTTGCGAAGCGTAGTACCGATATCATCTCGATTATTATCGTTTTCATACCAGTATTTGTTTTTTAAATGTCCCCTGAACGTTGTATTGTGAAA